TTCATCCCTTCTTGCATCCCCTGGACCACCTATGCATCCACCAATTGGTCCTGCCATGCAGAACCCTCTAATGATGCCCTCTATGAATCAGGAACCTTGCTGTCCAGGACCTGGCCCACAAATGATGTCCTCCAACCAGCTGGTCTTCCCTCCGCGCCTGCAGCCTGGACCTCCTCACAACCAAGGAGTCCACCAGTCAGGAAGTGGAAGCTCCATGCAGCAGCATTTCCCAGATGATGTTCACCATCAGCCACGGCTGCCCCACAGAATGTCTGACCCCTACGGCCCTAGTCTACCCTCCATACTTAGTGATCCAGATTTAGGGGATGTCATCCGGCCATCAGCCAGTGGCATCCCAGAATTTGATTTATCACGGATCATGCCCTCTGAGAAGCCCAGTAGTACTCTGCAGTACTTTCCAAAGGGAGGTAGCCAGAACCCTAAGCCACATCCCACCAACATGCACCTTCTGAGTTTACAGAACATGATGGTAGAGCAGCATTCAGGCCGTCTAGGCCCAAGTCTTCCAGGACCTCAGAGATCCCTGGGAGTACCCCCAATGCCTTCCATGGGCAGGACAGGAATGGCGCCTCCACCTCAGATGGGGCAGCAAAACTTTATGCTAATGAAGCAAAGGAGTGTGTCAGGGGAAATGTTCCCACAGAATGCTCATATGTTGTCCCCCCAGGGTGCTTTAGGGGGACACTTAACAGGACAACAGAGCATGATGGTTGGACACCAAATGAGACAGCGTAGTGTATCCCTGGACACCTACATCCCAGGACCAGGGCACCTGCCATTCTAACTGCAGGGACTTGCCAGCCACAGCTCTCCCTGCCATACTTTCCATCCTTTACCAAGCCTTTTCTAACTATATGTACTTCTCTCTCGAATTTCCTTCTTGTTCCAGTTATCTTTGCCGTCTTTCCTTCCATTTCAAATTCTTTGTGCTGTTCTCTACTATGTATGCTAATCCTTTTACTGGCCTTCGATAGATAGTCATGGATATTGCTACCCACAGCACCATGTCTGTGCGATTATCACCTACTAGAAGCAACTTGCCACTCTCTTCACTGTGCCAAGGAGCCTTTAAAACCCATTGTTATTGGTTATCACTTATGTCCGCAAATCCTACTGATGCTTATATCAGTTCCTCAATTCCAACTCCTCTTCATTGTCATCTTATTTATTTTCTGCAATATTTTCTTGTTTTATGTTCATTATTCTAACAACTCCATCTTCCTCCTATTTCTTAGCTCACTTTCAACTGTTTTTGTTGCAAACGCACTCCAGCTCCTGGATTATGTTTATTTTATTTTTTTGTCCCTGTGCTTTATTTTTATTGTTCTGTTCCTGTTTGTTACATGCCATTTTTCTTTTCTTTTTTGCTTTTAATTTAGTTATCCTTAATATAATGTAATATGTATCTCATCATTCAAGTCTTGCTCCTCTTTCTCTTTGCCCCTGCTAATCCTAGGTCCTATTGGCAGGGAGGGTTCATATATTTGTGGAAAGTAGCAAGGTGTGAATGCAGTCTCCTGTCTCTACCTTGGGAAGTGTCTTCTGTATATCATTTTTGTGAGTGTGGCTTTTTCTCTTACTTTTTTATTTTTATTAAAGCAGTGAAAATGTGCAAAGGGTTTTGAAAAAAAAATGTAAATACAAGAAGTGAAACGTGAAGTTGTCCATACTTATTATATATAGGGAATCTGAATTTTTCCAGGACGGAGTGATGGCAAGAACTGGTCTATGATTCATTGTCAGTCTGAATGTCATTCTGAGTCCATCTTGGTTTACCTTGCATAGTTCCAGGTTTTGTTACGTTAAAAAACTAAGCGCAAGATTGCAGGTTTTAGCCCACCTGTCAATGACAAAGAAAAATAAAGTATTTTGACACACAGACTACCGAGAAGTAGGCTGTGCAGAACCATAAATGATCAGTTATTGGTTCTGTAGGAAACCCACAGCACAAACTTGAGAGGCATCTAAGTTTTTGAATAAGGTATTATATTATAACCCTGGTTATCTGGTGCAACAAGCATGGTGCTTGCATTCCACAATCTATAAACTGGTCTTCTCTAAGTCAACCTTAGCTTTCCCTACTATAAGTTAAGATCAACACTTATTATGTCTACATTATTATGGTGACAAAACATTAAAAGAAAAATGTTAACAACAGAGCAGTATCTCTGCCATGTAGAACCCATTAAATTGCAACAGCTCAAGTCCAGAATGCATAGTTCTGTGCCCCTGCATCTAACTGGAATACCTGTCATTACACTGACTTTTACACCATCGTTTGTTTATGATTGCTGGTTAATCGATGCTAGAATTGATTCATTCCTGCAATGTTGTTTAATTACATTATGATGGGATCAGGGTTGGTGATCAACTTGGCATCAAGACTGGAGCCCTTTTATTGTATCTGTTGCTTTTATGTGCCTCCAGGAACTACTTCAGTAAGCTGAAACTATAGGGCTACATACCTAGCATCCTGATGTTCTTCAGTGGTATGGTTTTGAGATATCTTCAGTGGTATCTCAAAACCATCTTCCAAGTTGATAAAGTAATAAATCTAGCTACCAACCTCATGCATTGACACTAGGAAAGATTTAGTGCAGGAGGATGACAAACAGGCAGGATATTTATACAATATATGGTGTTATATAAATGTGGAAAGAAAAATAAATCAATTCATGAACCTGATGGGAGACAGCAGTTACAATAGGAGTGCTGGGCATATACAAGCCAATGCCAACATGTCTGGACTGTGCTGACCAAGTGGCTAAGGGGAATGGTGGTAAATCCCTATGTTTATACTAAGAGTAACTTAAAGGATTACTCCAAACACCATGATCACATCAGTGATTTGAAGTGGTCATGGTGATAGGAGTCAGTATTAATGCAGCGATACTGCACCCCCAGCACACGTTACCTTAGCAGCCCTCTGTTCCGGGCTGCCTAATGTCAATTATCTGCATATTTAATGTCTGTTATCAGCGCACATTACATGCTGCTGACAACAGTGAAAATATTATCCTTGCAGAGATTGCATCCCCTCCCACTTTGCCCTCCCTCCAGCCTCCCTCTGGCACATTGATATATATATTTTTTAAATGTACATGATGGATTCAAGGTGAGTGAAACCTTTTTATATGCAGACATTTTGTTTTACTGCAAATTGAAAGTGGGGACCTTGCCCAAAGTAAACAGTAGGGAATATTACGCCAGAAAGGTCCCCCCTCTCAAGTGTTATAGTAACCCATTAAGAAAGAGAAGCTCTTTGTAACAATTTCACCTTCAGATACTACGATCCAGATACATACATTTCAGTCTCTATGGGGAGTAATGACACATTCCAAAATGTCCAATGGCATATGAACTGGGAGAGGTCAAATTCCTGTTATGCTGCCTCATGTTTGGTTCAAAGCCATCATGCACTTACACTACAATACTAAAGGAGAGGGGGATTTGGGGCAGATATTTTTTCTGGTGGTAGGGATTGAGGCACAAATAACAGAGGGCAGATTAGTGTCAGACACAACTCCTAGAGGGGGGAGTTGGGGCAGATTCAACTATATGAGTGGGGAGAGAAATAAGGAGACCGCTCTACTGGGGAACGGGATTTTTGGCACACATAACTCTAAAAGGGAGGATTTGGAACATAACTGTAGAGGAGGGGATTTAGGGCAGACCGCTCTGGGGCTCGTATTAGGGTTACAGAAAATCTATTAAGGGGATTTGGGGAAGACACAGCCCTAATGGGAACTTTGGAGCAGACAACCCTGTAGAGAGGGCTTTTATGTAGATGTAGAGTCCAGTTGCATGGGGTACTTGCACCTAAGCAACAACAGCACATCAAAAAATGAAAAGTTGTACCGTACAGCAGCTGTGAAGATGGGACGATGAACACTATGGATAGCCTCTCACCCTGTCCATGGACTGCCATTCCTGCCTGAACAACAACAGTTACCCTATGGTAGGTTCTCAAAATGATTCTCTCTTCAATTAGTGGTGATGTCTTCCTTAACCCTCTGGGTGTGAAGGAAATTTGCTTAGACTAAAATAGCTAAACTCAAAGCAAAGCTGCAATTTTTTTCAATTCAGGTATTTTGACTTTAAATCTGAAATTTAATTTTGATTCCCAGCAGCTCTTACTTTAGTAAATAACTCTGTTTAGTTAATGAATCCTTGTGTATTAGAATCTGGATACTCTGTATTTCTTATATACAGTGAAGAAAAAAAATATTTGATGCCCTGCAGATTATGAATGTTTGTCCACTGACAAAGAAATTATCAGTCAATAATTGTAATGAGAGGTGTATTTTAACAGTAACAGACAGAATAACAAAAAAATAAAAAATCTAGAAAAACGCATGTCAAAAAAGGTAAAAATTGATTTGCATGTCAATGAGTGAAATAAGTAGTTGATCCTCTATTAATCAGCAAGATTTCTGGCTCCCGGGTGTCTTTTATACAGGTAACGAGCTGAGATTAGGCGTGCTCCTAATCTCAGCTCGTTACCTGCATAAAAGACACTTGTCCACAGAAGCAATCAATCAGATTCCAAACTCTCCACCATGGTCAAGACCAAAGAGCTGTCCAAAGATGTCGGGGACAAGATTGTAGACCTACACAAGGCTGGAATGGGCAACAAGACCATCACCAAGCAGCTTGGTGAGAATGTGACAACAGTTGGTGTGATGATTCGCAAATGGAAGAAACACAAAATAACTGTCAGTCTCCCTCGGTCTGGTGCTCCATGCAAATCTCACCTCGTGGGATTTCAGTGATCATGAGAACGGTGAGGAATTAGAACTACACAGGAGGATCTTGTCAAAGATCTCAAGGCAGCTGGGACCATAGTCACCAAGAAAACAATTGATAACACTACGCCATGAAGGATTGAAATCCTGCAGCGCCTGCAAGGCCCCCTGCTCAAGAAAGCACATGTACAAGCCCTACTGAGGTTTGCCAATAAACATCTGAATGATTCAGAGGAGAACTGGGTGAAAGTGTTGTGGTCAGATGAGCCCAAAATTGAGGTCTTTGGCATCAACTCAACTCGCCGTGTTTGGAGGAGGAGGAGGAATGCTGCCTATGACCCCAATTACACCATCTCCACCGTCAAACATGGAGGTGGAAATATGCTTTGGGGGTGTTTTAATGCTAAGGGGACAGGACAACTGCACCGCATCAAAGGGACGATGGACGGGGCCATGTACCGTCAAATCTTGGGTGAGAACCTCCTTTCAAAGATGGAGGTGGAAATATTATGCTTTGGGGTGATTTAATGCTAAGGGGACAGGACAACTGCACCGCATCACAGGGACGATGGACGGGGCCATGTACCGTCAAAGCTTGGGTGAGAACCTCCATCCCTCAGCCAGGGCATTGAAAATGGTTTGTGGATGGTTATTTCAATATGACAATGACCAAAAACACACAGTCAAGGCAACAAAGGAGTGGCTCAAGAAGAAGCACATTAAGGTCCTGGAGTGACCTAGCCAATCTCCAGACCTTAATCCCATAAAAAATCTGTGGAGGGAGCTTAAGGTTCGAGTTGCCAAATGTCAGCCTCGAAACCTTAATGACTTGGAGAGGATCTGCAAAGAGGAGTGGGACAAAATTCCTCATGAGATGTGTGCAAACCTGGTGGCCAACTACAAGAAACATCTGACCTCAACAAGGGTTTTGCCATCAAGTACTAATCTTTATTTGATTCTAAACAGTATAAAACATTTATATCACATATAAAACATTCATAATCATTGAAGCCATTATGCCATTATATTATTCCCCTTTTATAATTTTCACTTTCCCGACTCAGAAATAATTCTATTAAGATGTATAGACACCAAGCATCCCCCAAAAAACAAAACGCGTCCTTCACAAACCAATATAAAACTATGTTCATATGTTGCAATAACCCAATCTCAGGGAGGCAGAGAGAGAGGCATTCCATAGCACTTAAACCGTACGTGGAATTTTCACCTACTAGCTTAGAGTTCGAGGAGGGGCATATAGTATTTTTCCAGTGTCTTGCTATGACTATTTTTGTGGCTGATAGAACATGTATCAGTAATTTTAAACAAATGGTTTTTATTTTAGGGTAACTTTTGTTGTAGTAAGAGTGCCTCCGGTTAAAGGTCAATGTCCTAATCACCCTGAAGAGTTGCCCTACTGGCGAAATGCGCGTTGGGACTCTGTACTTTCCCGTGGTTAGTGTGCCGCCAGAATATAAGACCAAGAAATCCTGTCCACATCATCTATATTTACCTTGATCTAAATGAGTGTAGATTTTCTCATCAACCCGAGACACCTCTTAGACATTTAACAAATGCTCAGTAGTGATAGCCAGCACTAGCTTTGATTGCAGCACAGGTGCTCTTGAAAGCACAGATTAGAAAGTTTCTAGAGCAGTCCTCCTATATATATTTCTTTTCTATTCATTCATTGACCTGAAGTTATTTTACCATTGCTCTGAAGTGATAGTTAGAACCAGTTTCTAATCATACATAGGTGCCCTTGAAGGCACAAATTAGATATAGTTCGAGCGCACACTGTTATTTTGTGTTTTATTATTTTTTCATGCTCAAGTTTCTTTTTCTTTGTCATTTATTAGCTGTACTTTAGTTTTAGCACTGCTTGGTCAAGGGTTCCCCCTAGCTAGCATTCCAACAGAACACAAATACATTGTGCTACATGTTACCATTTCTCTGGTGTTTATTTACAAGCTATATTTAGGTTTTAGCACTGTGACTATCCCTTTAGATACATGTTACCTGTTGGTATAACAGCGATACTAAGTATACCTATATAATTAGTGTCAGCTAGAACTTGCTGTCTATACACAGGTGCGCTTTGAAGGCACAGATCAGGACCAGTTCAGTAGCAGATTTTCTACATTCCTGTGTCTATCTGCACAACCTTTGTTTCTCTGTCTTTCACTATTTGTACCCAGGTTCTAGCTCTGCCTAGTCGAGGGTTCCCCCTGGCTAGTATTACAGAGCAATCTCATACCAGGGAACAATTACATTTGTTGGTGTAATGTGACATAATTCATGATCATCCTTTACACTGCTTAGTTGAGGGTTCCCCCTAATAAGCAGATTAGTATACCAACTAACACTTGCAGCCACTCCTCTATTATGGCTAAAAAAAATTCTGTGAATATTCATTGACCCCATATGACGTTACTAGAGCTATCTTTCTGGTGTCAAGTGATACAATTCTTGACAATACTCAGCACTGCTTAGTCGGGGGTTCCCCCTGACCAGCAGATTAGCATACTTACCAATACATGCATCAATTCTCCTTTGTTCAAGTTTATACCAACTTTCCTTTATGGCTGATGGATGAAGCATATGAAATGCATGAGCAAGTAGAAAGGCTCTAATAAGTCTATCTAAACATGGAAACCCTAATCCTTCCTTTTCAGTATCCTTTGTTAACAAATGTAAACTTATTCTGTTTTTTTTTTAATTTATTTTTTTATGCCAGATACATTTTGAGAATGAGGTCTGTATTAACATAATCCAGCTCTGAAAGGGTAATAAGCGTAAAAGGTTAGTAATTTTGGTTAGGATTTAACAGAATTAATCCTACCCCACCAGGATAATTATTTAATTATTCCATATTTTAAAATTGGAATTGATCAAATTTAGCTCTATCCAGTTTTGTGGGTTTGTCAATATCTTTATACCCAAATAAGATAAGTAATTTTTAGCCCATGTACAGTCAAACCTTGCGGTAATATGAGCTTTCATCTGGTAATCCATAAGTAGTGGCATGTGACTGATTTAGAAGAGTTCAACCTAAAATTCGAAAACTGGCTATATTTCTCAATGACCTTCGTTAATTCTTCAGCTGAATTCACGGGGATCTCTATTATAACGAGTATATCGTCTGCATATAATTTGATTTTAATATCTTCTTTCTAGACATGTTCAATTTGTTTCGGTCCGAATTTAATCCCGGCCGAATTTCGGCAGTTTGGACATTTGGATGGTTCCGAATGTCGACTTGCCAAATTTCAGACGTACCGAAGTTTTTTGGATTTTTGAAAAGTGTCAAAACAGGAGAGGGAGGGAAAATTAAGGGAATGATGACCAGAATCTAACCCTACCCCTAACCTAACCCTAGTAGGGTTAGGTTAGGTGTAGGGGTAGAGTTGGATGATTGGGGTTAGGGTAGGGGTAGAGTTGGATGGTTGGGGTTAGGGTATGGGTAGTGTTAGGGTTGGGGTTGGGATTAGGGGATAGGATAAGGTTGGAGTTAGGTTTAGGGAATTGCCAAAGTGCCGAATTTTGGAAGTACCGAACCAAATTTATTGCCCGTGCACATCCCTACTTTTTTCTCTCTAAACCCTTTTATTTTATTGTTGTTTCTTATATCTATTGCTAATAGTTCAATGATCAAGATGTAAAGCAGTGGTGATAGCGGGCAGCCTTGTGTTGTGTTGTGCCATTTGCCAAATTTAACCAATTTAAGGAAAGGCCCAGACTCTTTGTTTTACCAGAAGGTTTAGATTACAGTGCCATATGGTGTTTAAAATTGTACCCGTAAAACTGAAGAGTTTTAGAGTATTTTCCAGAAATTCCCAATTGACCTTGTCAAAGGCCTTCTCTGTGTCCAATGACAGGGTCGGTAAAGGGGTCTGTCGGCATCAGGAAATCTCAAACAAAGCTATCAAAGTACGAAAATGATTAGATGAGGATCGCCCAGTCATGAAGCCCACTTGATCAATCTGAATTAGATCAGGCATAACCTGTTTCATCCTATTTGCTACAACCGCTGCATAGAGTTTAATATCCTCATTAAGAAGTGAAATAGGTCTATAACTCCTTACATCCTCACGATTATTATCTGGTTTTAAGATAGTAATTATATTTCCTCTCAATAGGTCTTTAGAAATTGACCCCATTTTTGCAAAATCGTTAAAGGCAGTCATCAAATGTGGAGTAAGCTCCTCATTAAAGGTTTTGTAAAATAAACCCAGGAGATCATCTGGACCTGGAGCTTTTTCAGATGGTAAATTTTCAATTATTTTAGAGATCTCCCTATTTGTAAAGGGTATATTCTATTTTGTCTAATTGAAGACAGGTCAGATTTTTCGAAATTCTATTTAAAAAAAGTAAGGTTCCATGTTAAAGTTATGATTTATTGAATTATATAATTCTCTGTAATAATTTTCGAAAGCCTTAGCTATCTTCTCTGGGGATACGCAAGTATTGCCTTCATAAACAATTTTAGAAATAATTTTAGATTTTTTATATATATATATTTTAATTTAGATGTTAAAAGACTATCTGCCCTATTTCCTTTATAGTACCAGTTACTTTTCATTTTCATCAGTATTCCATTAGTGTTAGTTTTTAACTGGTTATTAATTAAGCCTCAATCGGTTTAGAGAGATTTATTGAGGGTTTGTTTTTATTAGTTCTTAGAACTTTTTCCAATTCAATATATAAATCTGACATTTTTTCCTTACATGTTTTATCCTGTGATGCCATTTTAATGAAGTAGCCTCTTATGACACACTTAAAGGCCACCAAAACAACTGCTGGAGACGATTCAAAAGTATTATTCTCTTTAAAGTATTGTTGTATCAATTGGTTTATCTGATCTTTATTTTGTAGAGATTGTAATAGATATACCTTTCATTTCCATTCTGGTCTTTTCCGCTTAAATTGATCTTTTAAGTCCATGAAGATCATATTACGGTCTTACCAAGAGATCTTTGATTTGAACTTTTGTGACTCTTTGTTCACTAGTGAAGTCTGTTTATAATATAGTTAATTCTCAAATAGGACAAATAAGTCTTACAAAAACACGTGAAGTCCCTCTCTTTAGGGTGTAAAACAGGCCAAATATCTAGCAAAGCATTACTATGGATTAAAGAGTGGAATCTCGAGGCTTGATTAAGAGTGTTTCTATCTGCTGCTTTTTATCATCATTACATTCATAACACACTTAAAATCCCCCATCCAAATGAGTGCACCTTGTTTTACTTTATATAATTTTCCCCAGAAATTATATATGAAATTCATTGCTGAACAATTAGGTGCATAAATATTGGCAAGTGTATTTGAAAATACTTATTTCACTCATTGACATGCAAATCAAGTTGTAACTTTTTTCATTAAAATTATAGACTGATCATTTCTTTGTCAGTGGGCAAATGTTCAAAATCAGCAGGGGATCAAATGTTTTTTT